TGGATTGAGGTTTGTCTCTGTACGGTCGTCTGTGTACGTGGCAGTTGAGATGGTGAACTCCCCGCGGTGTTAGCCCCGCCTTCGCTCGATGACTGTAGGAACTGGCTCCACCCTCGTAACAGTCCGAGACCTCGCGCCACTCAATTTCTACCACTGCTTTATCAGAGTTACCAGTAGGGGTGCAGGGGGAGGCGTGGCCACAAACAGAGATAACAACTATTCACGCTCAGATTCAGACTTATCGTCAATCTGATTCCTTAGGAATCGAACCAGCAAACCAGTGATTTCCTTATTGTAAAGCAGCAGTTCCCAAACTTTTTCGGTCAATCCGATTCGGTCAGTCGCCCCAACAAAAATCTTGTCAGATTACATTTCAAATTGATAAATAAATAAAAATCAGTTCAAAATGAGAAAATATTTTATGAGTGCAGTTGTTGTCCTGTTTGTTCCTCCCATCAAGTCTCCGACCCCACCGGTGGGACCCAACCCATACTTTGAGAACCACTGCTGTGAAGGTTGCCCAGCCTGAGACCTGGTTGTGTTCACTGTCAATTTGTAACGTTTAATAAAGTAGGAAACCGTGGGTCAGGAGTGAAGTCGGCCAAATTGAAGTCAACTTCCTGTCACTTTGCATTAAACCAATGCACATTTTACGATGCTGTTTTGTTATGTTGCTAAGCTACTGCCGTCTAATTGTCGCCATCATTTAGTCAACTTAGCGACATTCACCGCCTGGCCCGTTGATTTCTTTTTTTTTTTTTTTAACCTCAAATGCCTGATAGGGATATCTGTTCCTGTCAATGTCGTCCCATTCTCTAAAAAGTACCGACCGGCACTAACCTGGAGAGTTTGATTGGCTGATTAACAGAAAACTAAACTTTATGGGTTCCACCTGTGTTTTTGCAGCAGCTATTAGACTCACTGATGTTTTTCCATCCTCTCTGGGAGACGACCTAAACTCAGTCCAGTTTATCAGCCGGTCCAAATGAAACAAATCTCTCCACAGCTTGAGCCTGGCCTCCAGCATCCCCTTCATTAATTAGATGTCTAAAAATACCAAACCCCTCCAAGACCTAATTAACCCATCGACTCCATTCGGTACCTGCTGCAAGACTGTCTACGGACGCCAGATGAATGACCATTGTCAGAGTGTGTGTCGGAGTGTGTATGTGTTCACTGGGCATAAGCATCGGTCTCCAAGTTCCTGTCTGGATCACAACAGGCTTACAAATGGATTTAGGTAATTGATTTTTTTTATTATTATTATTAATTAAAATAAAATCATTTTACAAAAAATCCTCTAATTCTTGACTCCAAATACACAACTCATGTGTTGTATAATTGGTTTTCAAAGTTTAAAGAAAAATAAAATTTCCTCATTAAGAAAAACATTTGACAACCCGCTGTGCTCACTCCTTGGGGTCGAGGACCATTAGTTGAAGACCTCGCACTGAGAAGTTCCTAAATGAAAGTGAATTATTTGTTACTGTGACACAGCAGAACAAAATGGAACCTCCGGTTGTAACCCTTTACCAAAGTCAGCAGGGGGAGCAGTGTGTCGGGATGGTGCCCTGCTAGAAGCAGCTCAGTGGTAACTTGGCAGCCGGAGGACTCAAACCTCAAACCTCAAACCTCAAACCTCAAACCTCAAACCAAATGTACGACTTTTGTCTCATCTAAATTATGACTTTTTCTCGTAGAATGTTCGTCTTTACATCTAAATTATGACTTTTTCTCATAAAATGTCAGACTTTTTCTCGTAGAATGTTCGTCTTTTTTTCATAAATTTATGAGACTTTTCGTCATTAGAAACAAAGATTGTTGTTTGTGATACTGGGCCATAAATGATCCGTGGTCTGGGCTGCTTTGATTTAATGTGACAGTTGTTGGCACAGTCACTACTGTGTGTGTGTGTGTGAGAGTTAATGTCAAAGGTCAATATAGTCGGCGTCACCAACTTCAGGAGCGTGAGTTAATGTCAAAGGTCAATAGAGTCGGCGTCACCAACTTCAGGAGCGTGAGACAATTAAAAACACCTTTGAGTCGTTAATGAATCCATGAAATGGATGAATCATTTCCTGCTTTTTTTTTGTTGTTTTTTTTTTTGTTTTTTGTTTGAATGCCAATCACATTGTAATTGTTATTTTTCAAATTGGTGACATTTACCTCACACAGTGATTTGGGTGACACCATTCAGAGCCGCCTGTCACCAGTAAATCAGTTCCACGAACTCGGTCTAATCACCGTAATTACAAGCTTCATTCAGTTTAACGATAATAAAGGGGATTGTGGGGGATTTTGGGGCTGATTTAAAAAACGAACTCTTAAATGCAGAATTGTTGTAGAATTATTATTGAGTAATCAGAATCTGTCACCAGTCGGATTTACCTCAATTATATCTTTGGCTGAATGCACCGTTGTTGTAGCTGTCAGAGCGGAATAGACGGCGTAATCATCGTGTAAACCTTTGACTCCCAGATGGAGTTGCAGGATTTCTGACTGAAGTTTTATTTGATGATTGCAGTTCATTAACTACATTAGAGGAGATGACAGTGTCATCAGCCAAAGTGCTGAGTCAACACAGTTTACTGGAGAGAAGTACATTCAGTTACAGGAGAAAAGATGCTGCGAACAGAGGGATGGTGGTGATGTGGGGTAACTACACACACTCTCTGTATATGTATTTGTGCTCTTAATGTGAACGGTGATTGATGGGGGGGGGTACAGATGTGCTGTATTTGTGTGTATTTGGCTGTAGGTGTGAGTATACATGCAGCGGCGCCCCCTATCTGTACTGGTAGATCTTCAAGTGGGGTCACCCAGTCATTGAAACCAACCTGGATTGTGCTAAGCTAACCCTGTTAACACCCGTAGCCTTGCTTTTCTCTTACTGGGTCCTGTGAGTTGCAGTACTGCCACCTACTGTTGTAGTTGAGCTGTTCTTTGCAACTGCAACAGAAAGATAAAGGAAGAATATTAAGAGTGGAGATCTCACTAATTCAGACATGAGACCAAATACTTCTGACTGTGACTGTTTGGACAGTGAGATGTGTTTGAGAAAAAAATAATCTTTAGAAGTCAGCTTATTATATCATAATAAACTGTTTTAAACATTTTGTTCTGGTCTCAGACATTATGTTTTTCACTGTAACAATGTAAAAAAAAATCAGAATTTTCAACAAATTTTCAACCGATTTGAACAACAATTGGGGTGAAAAATGTTTTAACCTGGTTGAAGACATTTTTGGTTCAAAATTTTCAACAAATTTTCAACTGATTTGAACAACAATTGGGGTGAAAATGTGGCCCACATGTGGCCACATTTTTTTAACCTGGTTGAAGACATTTTTGGTCAGAATTTCTATGTGATAAAAAGGTTGAATTCAAAGCTAAATATAATTTAACATTCCATCTACAGGTTTGATCTTTCCATCCTGTGTTCACAGCTGACATTTGACGATATCTCAAACCGATTCCCGGATGTTTCTCTTCACGTGTCGTAATCTATGTCCGTGTAACGTATCCAACGTCTGACAGTATCACTTCCAACACTCAGGTGCCCCAGGATGAGTGGGCAGGATACCCCGGTGGCGGGAAAGATGACGAGATCCCCTGTCGTAGGATGCGCAGCAGCAGCTACGTCAAAGCCATGGGGGACGAGGAGAGCGGCGAGTCAGACTCCAGCCCCAAGACGTCGCCACAGAAGTCAGTGCGACCAGACGCTCTGGTCAAGGCCATTATCAGACCCAGGGACTTGTTGGACTCCCAGAGGTAAAACACAGTTTTATCACTTTAAATATATAAATATATATTTAGCTGGAACACAGCTAGTGTGTCTCGAAAAGATGTTTGTCTTTATTTAATTATTATCCGAATGTCTGATCCTTATCTTTAGCACACCCATTCCTTGTGCCCATTTTTAAAGTTACCGTTTTGAGCATTCATCATGCGAGGCCTTTATATTTGTATTTGTATTTATATGTCCCTCATGCTACTTCAAAGTCAATCATGTATGAATTCTAGTTCTCTGATTGGCTCTTGTCCTCATTACTGCCTTACATTACCACCATGATACCAGGGCTGATTTAAATCAGTCCCTGAAAGATTTTTTTTTAGTAGTCAGTACTTTTTGAATTCATCACTCAAATAATACGTTGAGGGAATTACGCTTGGTGTGAACAGTTGTTTGTTTCCATAGCGACCACGTGATGGACAGGTGACTTGAGTTTGTGCTTTGGTTCAGCCCACGACCCAGAGATTGCAAATCATTAATGAACTGCTTTAAACCTCTGAAGATCAAGAAAAGGTTGTCACATTATCACTGATGCATGATGGGATAATGATCGCTGTGTTGGAACTGAAGCCGTTTTAGTCAAGTGTGAAGGTTCTCCTTTTTTAGACCTCGTTGTTCTGTTGAGTTCTGGTCTCTTACTTGTTTACTTTTAATTGGTCTGAACTTTTAAACAGTTCTAATTAAAATCTGGTTGGAGAACCTAAAAGTCCATGGTCACCAGTGAATAGTTCCTCAGTGAGAGTCTAGACAGGAGGATGGACACATAAATATTCATGGTAGTTTTTTATTTATTTATTTATTTTAATTTTGTACATCTACCAAGTATTTGTACCAAATTTGGTGTCCGAGGACGCTAGCCTTTTCCATGATGGAAATATCTCCATCACACAGTGACGTAACTCTGCGGCCCTGGTGTCTTGTCAGAGACTATGAATTCATTGTACTGCAGGTGAAGCCTGAAGGTTAATGCTGGTTATATGGTTATGGTTCCGCTTCACTGAAGACAAAAACTCCACCTCAGCTTCACCCATGACCCTTCATGAGGAAAGGTCAAGTTGTGGTTTGCTGATATACGGCATATATACATCTCTGTATTTACCGTATTTTCCGGACTGTAAGTCACTTTTTTTTTCCATCCTTTAGCTGGGTTTTGCGACTTATACTCAGGTGCGACTTATATATCAAAATATTAAAAAAAAAATTTAAAAAGTTTGTTATTTTCACACTGACACCCACTAGAGGGCACTGCGACTTATACTCCAGGGTGACATATATGGGGGGTTTTTTCTTCTTGATTCTGCATTTTTTTTGGCCTGGTAAAACGTATACTCCGGTGCGACTTATACTCCGGAAAATATGGTACTCTGATGCGTTCACAGTCCGAAAGATGCATTCAGTGTCAAGAAGAGATTAGTTTTTTTTTTCCTTCTTTATTGTGCATTTTTTTGGCTGGTAAAACATATAGTGCGACTTATACTCCGGAAAATATAGTACTCTGATGCGTTGACAGTCCAAAGGATGCATTCAGTGTCAAGAAGAGATTAGCTTTGAATGTGAATGTCTGGCTATTTGGTCTCTGTACGTTGACCATCAGATGGAGCTGAGACCTGAACATGCTAACCTTCCATCCACCAGACATGGTGGAGTATGTAGCATTTGTTTATTGTCTTTTATTAACGCTTTTCCTTTTAATTACCATTGAGCTAATTTTACATTTGCTCAACATAAAAAGCAATAAAATAAAAGTTGCCACACTTCCTCCAGGACAATTTTTCAACGTTAATTTTCCAATTATAAAAATAAAAAGCAGAGTAATTTCGATGCTACTCATCGTCCCTTTTTCACTGCCTATTGTGGTTTCAGATTGCATTGTTACAGCACTTCAGACGCTGCTTTAATGCACAGTGCACGGAAGATTAATCTTTTCCCGTCTTTACTCAAAGAGATGGCACTAGATGAATGTGAATTCAGCCTCGGCCCTCCACCAGAGGACTTTGTTTCTCTCTGTTCACAGATAAATGTAAAAACAGTAATTACAGGGATGACCCGCAAAAAAAAAATCCCTTGTTTTGATAAAACCCAGCATTTTGCTGACTGGTGTCTGTGGAGAGAATAGTAATCTGCCTGGTTTCAGGTGGTGGTTGATGTTTTACGTCAAGTCCGTTCAACCCATTCTACTTGAGTGACATTCATTCATTCTTCTTCCAGTTTTGCTCTTTAATCATTCAGGATGCGAGAATGACATTTGTTTAATTTTAACCCCTCAACTTTTACACCGGTGATCAACAACTGGCGGCCTGTGGGCAGGATCCGGCCAAACGCCAAACTCCCGTCCAATCACACACAACTGGATTTCATAACTGCGAGTATCAAAGAGAAAGTATCGTGTGGTCAACAGTATTAAACGTCTTCAACTGAGACTTAAAAAACTATCATTCATCAAACATTTACGACTATATACATTCCGTTAGACCAGGGGTGTCAAACATACGGCTTAGGGACCAAACACGGCCCCCCCAAAAAAAATGGACAAACACTTGTTTATAATATGTTCTTGATATGTATTTTGTAAAATTATATTTCATTGAATATGAAAATTGTACATGAGAACAGATGGAGGAAACACTTATAGTTATTGATTGTACTGGTCTGACTCACCTCACTGATGTATTTTTTTTTCTGGACTCTGATGTCACTGGAATAATTCCACAAATCCTGTGTAATTTTACAAGATTTTGGGCTTCACGACTCATGTGTAAAATATGCTCAAGGACAAAATGTAATAATAAGAAACCCAAACAGGACTGGGCTGTAAAATCTGATACGATAACGTTATGAGGAAATCATATCTGAAAGGTTTGCTTTGTGTTTTTAATGAAAAAGAACTGGTGGAGTGGTGGAGAGGCGTCCAGGATGTAAGTTCATCTCAGGTCATTTGTCTCCAGTGTTGTGGATCTCACGGTGGCAGTTTGTGTCTTCTCCACTCAGTAGCCCCCTCTTGTGTCTTCCTCATGTTCTGTCGACACAAACCTCACAGGCTGGTCATGTTTTATAGATGGCTCACCTTCTGTCCAACCTCAGGCTAAGGCAGTGGTCCCCAGATCTTCTCTCCTGCCCCCCCCCCCCCCCCCCTCCCCTTCTTCCGCCATTCCCTCTGCCCCCCAAAAACAGGACACACATCCTTTATTTTGCGTATGCGTGGGAAATCCCGTCAAAAACTCGTCCATTTTCTGCTAGCATTGACAACTTTGTTCAGTTGAGTGAGATTTTGTGTGTGGGGAGGGGCGGAGTGGGCACGCTCAGACTGCCCGGTGTTGCTTTGTTGCTGCTTCAAGCAGATCGAACAGGTGGCAGCAAACATAAAAACGAGAATTAAATTTAATGGCTTCCTTTACATATTATTATTATTATCAGTTATATATTTAACACCGTTATCAACAAATCCGTTAAATCAGTCTCTTGTTAAACATTTACACTATTGGATATATATTTAACACCGTCATCAACAAATCCGTTAAATCATCAATTGTTAAACATTTACACTATTGGACGATCATCATCATGCCACCCTCACCCCCCTCCGCAATGGCACTGCGCTCCACTAGGGGGCGCATCCCACACTTTGGGAACCTCCTTGCTAACGTATGAGCATTCTGTGTATAAACCGCAGTTTCATACAAAACTAAACAGGAAATTCAACATGAAAAAGAGACGAGGTAAATCAAGCGATTCTTGTACTAATACTTTTTACAGACGCACAGGGAGCCGACGAAAAACTGAGTGGTCATCCAGTACAGTAATGGATTGCGATCAGGCAGCGTGGTAATGACACTCTGTCACGGTAGATGCACCATCCTGGCCATTCTCTTTCAGATTATGATGTAACGCAGGAGGCCGCCACAGTGAGGTATGCGTCTTCCTCGGTGCCTCGCAAAGCTTTCTCTGGCGATTCATTTTGAATAGCCGCAAACAGTGACTGATTTATGAGCAGGCAATGGCAGGAAACGCTATCAGTTGCTGTTATAGTACTCCAAGGCCCCGCTGAGTAACGACTGTCTCGGTGGTTACACCGAGGCTGCTGGGTTTCTACTGAAAGGAAGATATTGACCAGCAGGGATGGGGCCGCGCGGCCCCGGCTTTGACTTCATTGACAGCAGCAGCAGTATTATTGAGTCATGAGGACGAGGTTTGTCCCGAGACGCCACGACTGTCCCCCTAGTGTGTCATTATGGACCACTCTGCATACCGCCCAGAACCGTCTTTGAGAACTCAATTTGGTGTTTTTCCTTTAGGATTCCGTTGGGTTTACGTGGTGAATACCTAAATTCAGACGTTGTTTTTCTCTTGGGTTGTTTTTTGGCTTTACACACAGCAATTATTTGAAAAATTCTTCTGCGTTCAGCCTAACTAATAAGTACGTCGTGACAGCTTATTAGCTAAAAGCAGAGACTCAGTATATTGGCATTGGTGTGTTGTATTATTTAAAGGTACTTTACCTTCATTTTATCTATTCATTGGGAAATGTATAGATTTACAGGTACATGGTAAATTATCTTGACTCGCTCTATACGTTAAGTGCTGTACACTGCAGTATTTGCCATCTACCTACCTCAGCAAGGCTATAACCTACCAAGCCTGGAATTGATCCCACAACCCTTCAGTTGTAAGAGAACTCTACTACCTACTGAGATAGAGTTATTGTCTAATAATGAGAGACAGAAATTAGAAGAAATGATGATGAGGAAAAAAACAGGGATACATATTTGCTAAAGAACACTCGACTTTTCGTACAGGCTGTCAATTTAAAGAAATCGGAATCTAAGACTAGGGATGGCTCAGTCCGATACTCAGGATCAGTATCGGTCTGATAGTGGTTAAAATTTCAGGCTGAAGCAGCGGTAAAAACTGCTATAGCCTAGCTAGCCGATCCAATACCTGAATGCTAAACTTAACTTTCCGCAATATGCCGTAAACAAGG